GATCTGTAACATGTACTGATGTTGACAGACATAAGATTGTTAGTGGGTCTAATGACAGGACAGTTAAGGTACTAAAACTGGAACTGAGATCTTATAGTTTGTTGGTGTAATGTTAAATAAAAAAGAGACTTCGTCTTGTGGATGAATAATATAAATATTTTGTTAAATGCCATATTGTATTTCATATAGTAATTTTATTTATGAATCTGTGTTGTGTTAAATGATGATTTACATAATGCACTCAGCATATCCTGTTTAAGATATCAGTATCTACATGGTAGGTATGGTCACTTGAAAGTGGAGATTGTCAACTTACTTTACCTGGAGACCACTCAACTGGAGTTTCTTGTGTCACATTCAATGATCAATGGGTTGTCAGCGGTGATAATGCAGGAGAGATAAAGGTCAGATAACAACCATCTTTATCAATTTCCTCTCCCACAGTGTTTCTATCACAGATGTCTTCTTTATCTTATGAAATATTTCTGTCAAAAAAGAGCATGTCATTGAGGATTGTCCACTCTCACATATAAGCCTAACCTCTACAGATGCCAGTTAAAAAAATGTGAATCGCTCCCAGTTTAAAGAAAAATATAGAAAAAATAGTTTTTATGCTTAAAACACCTGTACTTGACCAGTCATCAAAGGATCAGCATTTTTAAAACTTTGAATGTGGCCTGTGAGATAATTGGGATTAATGTTACTTTGTAACTGATGGTGATGCTGTTATCAATTATGATGACAATGATTATATTAACAATGTTAATAATGATTACTGAAGGTATATTGTTCTTTAGGTGTGGGACTTTGCTGTGAACAGTCTGTCTGTCCTTAATTCTCAAGTTTCATCATGAATTATGTATGTCAAATATGAATATGAGAATGCTATATATGTAAAAAATATGTTATCCAAATGTCAATCAATACCATGTTAAAAACTAGAATATATTGATATTGAACATTTTACGACATTTTACGACACTTGTCGTAATGTCATTTTCTGCCAACCCTTCTTAATAACGTCTTTAAACTCCTTTTTTCCATTCAGATGGTCAAGATGTATTTTTCACTTTGTAATTTTAAGAATTCTCCAAATCCAGATACTAGTACCTATTTCTCAAATGCATTGTAATAATATCAAAAAATCTCTATTCCTATCAACGACACGACTTTTACTTTGTTGGCACCTAAATAAGAAGTTGTATTTGGCATTTTAATTTTTTTTTTTTTTTTATACTTGCAGTTCTGGTGCCAAGTCACTGTATTTTTGAATACTGTATTAATCGTTTTCTGACATGGTTACTGGTAATGTTGACGTTACGTATTTGAACAACTTATCAGTTCGGGATGTACGAAAAAGACTATAGTTTCTAAGTCTTCCAAAGAATAATAGTTTTGTCGTACGTTTTGCGCTTTTATTGTTTTATATTCCCATTTTTCCTTCCATTTTCAAACCTCTTTTCGTTTTCTATTCTTCATTATTGAGCGATGTGATTTCTTGATGACGATGTGTATTATTTGTACTTATCGGTACTCGAGGAAGTGAACGACAGGTTACAATGTACACTTATTTCACTGCAAATAGTACAACTACAGCTTGTCGTCGTATTTCAGTAGCCTTGCCAGTTCTACAAGACAACCAAACATGAGATTCCTCCAAAATTATATCCCATATCTTCATTATCTATTTTATGGAGG